TGCTCTGGGGAAGGAGGGGAGATGAGCTGCCGTACTCAACGTGCCAGTCAACAAACATTGTGCAAAGCCGGCTTCTGCTACAAACAGGCAGAACTGGTTTCCATACAGGTTAACCATGAACAGGAAGTTGTCCATCTGTACAACATGCTGTGTGTACACTTCTACAGCAGCTTTGCCACTCAAATCATGCTCTCCTGCGTGCAACCCTCAGACCTTTTAGGCCATCCATCCATCGCTTCTCTTGTTACTGTGAACTGAGGATGATTCACTCCGGTTATCTGCATACATATAATGCATATAACATATTCATAGAATGCCATGAAATGAAGTCAACAACAGAACTGGAAACTTCCCCCTAGAGTCTTCCAACTCCTAGGTTTATCAAGGAGCAAGTCACATTCAAGCAAGTAACCAGCAATGATTCTTATGTTGCATGTTTGCAGAAGCGAGATTCATTCTACCATATCAAGAGGTAGTCTTAAAAGTACAGCTGGCTCCTTGGGAGATCATACTGTACAGTAGAACCTTCTTGATAGCTGCTGACATGCATATAAAACAAGACAATAGAAAACTTTCAGTTAAAGTTTTATAGGAATTATTTTCTAATTAGTACAGGTTATGCCCGTTAAGATATCAGATCAGAATGTTCCATTCAGATGAGCAACCATGGCAGACCCTCATTGTGACGTGCACAGAATGTCTACAACAGTGTCAGGTACAAAAGGGGGAAGCTGCACCTGCTTGAATCCTTCTCACCTACACAACTAGAACAGGTATATGAGCTCTGCTGTCCTCTTCGCATCTAAGCTGCAATTGTTGTAAGATGTTTGAAGACTCAAACACCAAAAAAGTAATAAATGTAAACAAGTGCGCGTGTGTGTGTAGGGGGGAACACACCTTTGTTTTATATTAAGTGGACATTACAAACCTTTCTGTGCAAAGCGCAGGCAGAAAATAGCATACCTTTAGGACGCGAAGTTTGACTTTTTCAATGGCTGTTGCCATTCTGGCCATATCTTTCTGATGGCCTAAGCTGAGCAGCTGGTCAAAGGTATATACTGCATTTTCCATAAGCTGGCAGGGAAACATTGAAAAACAGATATCACATTTACAGACACCCACTCCTGCTGA